AGAGAGAGAGAGAGAGAGAGAGAGAGAGAGAGAGAGAGAGAGAGAGAGAATGAGAGAGAGAGCGCCTCATGAACAGTTGAACAGCCGTGGGCCTCAGACACTGAGGCGTGGCCAGGCTGCAGTGGGAAGAAGCATATAGGTATCAGTGAGACCTCTTGCCTAGTTTATATAGAAAATGTCAGGGAAGGCCAAAGCCAGACCTTAGTTTAAATGTTAAGGAGACAGACAGAGACAAAGACAGAGACAGAGACAGAGAGAGTACAAAATCTTCAGAAAAGTGAAAAGTGGCCTTCCTACTTCTGGCAGAAATCTTAAATCCATGGAAATTTCATTTTCTCCTTCACCCTGCTCTTCTGCCTGCAGATCCCCGTGTCCCCTCTGGCCTCCGGGTTCCCCTAAAGTCCTGCCAGCTCAATGAGACCACATTCCAACATGGAGAGATCTTCAGTGCCCAGGAGCTGTTCCCTGCCCGCCTGTCCAACCAGTGTGTCCTGTGTAGCTGTATTGTAAGACCCTCTACAGTCTCTATGGCCCAAGCCAGTGTCTATCTTACAAAGAGGGATGGGGGTGGGACTAACTAAGGATAAAAGAGGCTGAAGGGAAGCAAACACCCCTGGCTGGAGAGATGGCTCAGTGGATAAGAGCACTAACTGCTCTTCCAGAGGTCCTGAGTTCAACTCCCAGCAACCACATGGTGGCTCACCACCATCTGTAATGGGAAGCAAACACCCAGGATCCACAATGTCCTGCCCCTAGCTTGGTGAGGTAACCTTTCTCCAGGTTTTCACACTTGGTCCCCAAACAATAAGAGTAGCTCATATCTCCCTCCTGAGTAGACACTATACTCCTTTGAGGGGACGGAATGAGCCCATGTTGCTTCTGTGTCTTCTCTGTTCCTGCTCAGGGCCTGGCATGCTAAGGATGCCAGTGGCTGCTACTGAATGAATGAATGAATGAATGAATGAATGAATACCAATCACCAGTCCTGGGACACAGACAGGAAGGGCCTGACAGTAGCAGATGGAGCTTAGTCTGAAGTACTTAGACTCCTTGTGGCCATGGTCAGAGTAAGGCTTAGGGACAACAGGTTTGACAGACCTGTGGTGGATGGACAGTAAAGCCAAACAGGCACGAGTTAGGAAGTCTTCATCTCTCTTGGGAGAGTCTCCCTGTAGCTCTCTTCCTGTCAGTCTCTCAGCTGTTCCTCTTACCCTCGGGGTTAGCTTTCCTATCTCTTTACTCCTTATTGTCAAACCTCTCTGGATGAGATGATAAAAAGGAGATCCAGGAAGGATGGGCAAAGGGACCATTAGAATATCCTCTCTGTCCACCACCATCACCTCTGCGTCTTCCCACAGCCTGTCCTAACGCAAGTGTCCCCCATTATGGACTGCAGCACTCTACTGGGAAAAGAACACAGAGTTCAGGTGTCATGGAGGGCTGGGTTGGGATTTTGACTCTGTAGCCAGAGCTGCTTAACTGCTCTGAGTTCCAGTTGTTTATCCGAACAGGGTGAAGTCTTCCCCCTAAGGCCATTGACCAAAGACGGCTCCATGAACTTGAATCTAGCAGAGCAATGTTCTAGACTGTGACAAGAGGCAGCGGCTCTGCCAAGCAGCCACTCACTAGCCTGGATTTCCGGCTCTCCTTTTATGTGTCCCATCCCTGTTTATGGCCCTGGCTTGAGTTCCGACCGCCTCTCTGGAAGTGGGATCCTTACATTTCAGACTCATGGGGAGGGATAAGAAGAGGACCCTGAGCTGCCTCGTTTCCTACAGGAGCATGGGGCCTTACAGCTGAGTTTCATGGCCACACTTGGAGGTGACTGTGCTCCCTGCCTTTCACAAGAGGTGAAATTCAGAACTCCTCTCCAAAGGTGCCAATCTCTTGCCTCCTGGAGGGCCCTGCATCATCCTATAGGCTCACCTTTCTGAGTGAACCTTGACGTTGGTGGCCAATGGTTTTCAGTAAGACTAATATAAGCCCAGGACCCACCCATGTAGGTCCATCTCATCCTGGGTCCCTGATGCAGGCCCAGGAGGAAGATAGTGATTTCTGTGGAAAAAACCCTGAAGCCTGAGCTCTGGTCCCTTCTACCCTGACTGTCTCTATGACTTGATGTCACAGTCCCCCCTCATCCCCAGGACTCCTCTTATCTTGAAGCCCATCTTAACAAGTTGCTGTGGAAGCTGAGGGAACATTGGAGATGAAGTTCATTTCAGGGCTTGGAGTGGGAATAGGAGGTCAAGGGAACCCCTCCCCATGGCTGACTTGCCCTGTGCAGGAACCACATGCCACTCCTTCCATTCTCCAAGTCAGGGGAGACCTCAAGGCTATTTATTTCCAGGTAAAGAGGCTCTCCTAGACTCCCAAGACTGGTGTTCAACAGAGTTCATTTCCAATCTGGTGGGTTCTGTCTTTCAGGAGGGCCACACTTACTGCGGTCTCATGACTTGCCCTGAACCCAGCTGCCCCATCATACTCCCTCTGCCTGATTCCTGCTGTCAGACCTGCAAAGGTGAGTGTCATAGTGAACTTCATCAATTTGACACAGCCTGGAGTCATTTGAGAGGAAAGCTTTAACTGAGGAATTGCCTAGATCAGACTGGCTTGTGGGCTTGTCTATGGGGAAATAGCTTGATTGTTAATTGATGTAAGGATGGCCAGCCCACTTTGGGCAGCACCATTCCCTAGGCAGTGGTCCTGGCCTACCTAAATCAGGCAATCTGATAGCAAGCAGTATTCTTCCATGATTTCTACTTCAAGTTCCCACTTGGGTTCCTATATTGACTTCTCTCAGTGACAGACTATAACTTGTAAGCTGAAATAAATCTTTTTCTTCCCTTAATTGTTTTTAGTGAGGATGCTTTATCACAGCAATAGAATGTAATCACAACTCTGAGTCTTCCCAAAGGCTGCCAGTGTTCTATAGTACCCCTTTATGAATTGCCAGGAAGAGCCTAGGGACAACCAGCGTATTATAGACACTTCCTTCCCACAGGGAGGTGGTAGCTTGACATGGATGTCCCAGAAAGCAGGGCTCATGGCTGATGCTGTGCTGGGCCATTTCTGCCACTGCAATACCAGGAGGCACACGTGAGGCAAAGTAAAGATCTGGGCATGAGAGAAGAAGAGGGAAAAGTTTAGTCTCCAACCTGACAACTCCCATAGGCCAAGGGTCACATCAATAACTCTCATTAATGCTGGTTATTCCTGCAGCGTGGGTGACAGGCAGGGCTGGGAGCAGCAGGCAATGAGGGGAGGGGCCTGCCAGGAGATGTGGATAGGAGGCACTGCTAGGGTAAAGCTGAGGGTGCTGGCAGCAGAGAGAGTGCTGCTGCAGATCCTGTAGTGACAGGGTGCTGTCCTCACGATCCTATAAGGCTAAAAGGAACAAAGTAGCACCTGGAAGGGAATGAGCATGGGCTGAGACCTGGTGTCTCTTGTCTTCCTCATGGCAGCATAGGGCACAGGATTGGACTCCCTGGATAGATTCTCTGGGTAAACTGAGGCTAGCACACATGCTGCCGAAGAGCAGGCTGGGCTTGAGCAGAGGCATACAATTGGACTGTCCAAGTGGACCTGGGAAGCCAACGAGAGCTTCTTGGGGAGCCTTGTATGTTGGGGTTTGGGAAGGTGTACTTCTGTTTAGTCCTCATTGCTCCTCTAGATGCCAGCTGGGGAGTAAACAGAGGCTGGCCTTGAGGCTCTCACGGGTGCCCAATCCTACTCTCCTGGGTCTCTGGAACAGGAGCATTCAAGACGAGCCAGATGGTATAGTGAAGGAGGGGCTTGGAAAGAGAATGGTGCTGAGCTTCGAGAAGCCACAGGGCTCTCTCTGTGCTGGTTCCCTGGTGCAGCTAGAAGAGGCCTCAAGATTCCCCTGGAGGTAGAACAGTAGAGCTCTGGGAATGTGTAGTGAAAAACCTGGTTGTGGCATGGGTTTCTGGGATCTTGGGGGCGATCACTCACACGATGACCAGTATCCCAGAGGGGTGACTTTTAAGTAGACTAAATAAGATGCTCTGATCTAACTGAACAGTCCACTCCTCGGAGTGACCAGAAAGTCAGTGTTGGGTTGCTGAAGAAGCATCCGAGCAGTGGAGATTTTGATAACCCAATAATGACAAAGACAGGTTATATAAAGAAGTGTAAGCTGGGGCTACAGATGTGGCATTAGGCTTTTGCAAGGGACAGAGGTACAGGCAGAGGCTTCAGGACTACGACCTCGAGGCTGACCTGGTTTCCTTTTGAGTTTTCAGACAGGACAACTGAGAGTTCCACGGAGGAGAACGTGGCACAGCTGCAGCACGGAGAGGTGAGTATGCACACAACGCTGCGGGCATGCTGGGGGAGAGAGCGGCTGCTCCGCAAGGTCGAAAGTCCTCATGACTCTCCAGCACTCGCTTTGCTTAGACATTACACTATCTATTCCTGATCCTATATCCCTCTGCCCACGCTGTCTCCAAGACCTGAGAGACTGACTCTGGGTCAGCTACATTGGCACCTCCATAATTCCAGCCTCCCTCCCTCCCTCCCTGTCATCATGGTTTCTACTATGGCTAATAGGCGAGAAGGGAACAGCTTGTCACGTGGGCAGTGTAGGCTCCAAATGCCCTCATTTTCCTTTGGGAGTTCCTGACACTGTGTGTGTGTGATCTGACTAAGTCAGTGGGGAGTGGCCTCTGGGTTGGTCTGTGCTTCTGTGCCTCGTTTCTGGAGTGCAGGTTTTTTGCCAGGGATCTGTCTCCCCCCTGCCCCTTCCATCTTGGCTCCTGTCAATCTTGTATAGAATTCAGAGGACCTAGCCTTCCCAGCTCTCTGTACCCTGAGGGAAGAGCTGGGAGAATGAACCATATCCTGACTCAGGATCCAGGAGCCTGGGACACCCAAAGCTGGACTCCTGACCTCTCCTCAGCCAGGGCATTTGCCTTTGCCAGGATGATTTCTCAGGAGAGCCCACAAACCTGAGCTGTTTGATCTCTCCTTCCTACCTGTCCCTAGAAGGCAGTATGTGGCCACAGGCTAGTGACAGACCCTGAACAGCTCCTTCCTGACTAACTGGATAACTTGGACATGTACCAGTTGGGTGTTGCATCGGTCCTTCAAGTCCTTCTTGTCCCAACACCACTTGACCAGTGCTTCACAGGTACTTCCTGTGTGCCCAAGCCTGTGCTGGGCCTGGGGGTTTCTATTCTGCAGGCTCTGCCTTTGGGCCATGAAAGGGTAACCTTAGAGACCGTGTGGAGTGGGGGAACTGTAGAAGGAAGGCTGTAAGGCTCACGGACATCTAGGGAAAGGACAGGCAGGCTGTTCTTCTTGTCTCCTTCTGTGGCCTGGAGCCGCCCAGTCCCCACACTCAGCTGCAGAGCTCCTACCATGTAGACTGCCATCCCCACCCACGCTTCACGTCTCAGCCCTCCTAGAGGTCTGGAGGGGCAGGGGTTGGAGAATAGGCTGGAGACCTCTTTTTAAAACTCTGTGTCTCCACATGGACCCTAGAGGTTTTTGTTTTCCTACACTGTGGAATTCTGGAACTTTCTGGGATCTTCAGAGATTCATTCTGTTGTCTCACCACCTAACTTTTCCTACGCAACAAGTTTTCTCTATTCCTGATCGCATATTACTCTGCTTCCCCACAGCAGCCCCAGGGTCTGAGACAGCCCTGCGGGAGGCTGGCTTGCCCAATCCTTGTCAGTGTTTTTATTGATTAGTCTGAGAATATCTTAGACCTCACCCAGAAGGTTCTATGGGGAGCTTGTGCACTGCCCCCTCCTGTCAGAAATCCTCTAGTCTTCACTGGCACAGTGCAGCCTGTTTTGTGGCCCCCGCTGTAGCCTGTCCCACTGAGACAGCTCTGCATCCTGCTTGCTGTTTGCAGAGGCATTCCCAGGATCCATGCTCCGAGAGGAGAGACCCCAGCACTCCAGCCCCCACCAGCCTCAGTTCCCCTCTGGGCTTCATCCCTCGACACTTCCAGTCAATAGCAATGGGCAGCACGACCATCAAGATTATCTTGAAGGAGAAACATAAAAAAGGTGGGAACAGGGCTGATGGGGTGAGAGCCCCTAGCTCTCAAACTCCCTACTCTGGTTCAACAATCTCAATCTAGCCATAAACACAAAAACAAACAGAACTGAGTGCTCTCCTGACCATCATGCACCCTAACTCCCATGTGACAGAGGAGGACACTGAAAGGCACAAGAACTGAATCAGAAAAAAACAAAAACCAGTCCTTTTCTGTAGGGGTGAGGGTATGTCTCATTACGTAGCTCAGGCTGTCCTTGAACTTCAGATCCACCTGCCTCTGTCTCCCAAGTAATATTTTATTGAGCATCTATTATGTCTTTATTGAGAAGTACGGGAGACAGAATAGACTCTTCCCCGGTCTCTGCCCCAAAGGGCTCCTAGATTAGTTGGGGAGGTATGTGACTAAGTTATCACAAGACAGGGCTGAGGACAAGACTATCACAGGAAGGCAGAGCTTCTCTGCAGGGTGACAGTGGGGATAGCTATGTAAGGGAAGAACAAGGTTCACAGCAGGACTCCCTGGCAGAGAAGGAAGGGCCATGGGCTACAGAATCTCACATCCTGGGCTGTAGGAAGGCAGGGAGGGGGAAGAGGACCTAGTAGAGTTCACGCCACCGCCACCGCCACCGCCACTGCCACCGGTGCTAACAGTTGTCTGTGCTTTTCCTGCCAGGAAAGGCCAGGTTTGGCTGCCAGGCCAGCACTCTCCGTGCCCCACCACAGAATTTCTTAGGCCAGGGGAGGGCTTTCCATCTTCAGCAAAGCTTAGGTACTGGGAGGGATGTCAGAGTTGGTGCAGGTTTGTTTCCTTAGCCTGCACTTTGTGCACAGTGTAGCTGGTGTACCTCAGGGCCTACTCCACATTTTGGGCTAGAGACTGGCCAGACCGGAGGCACTGACCCACCCTTCGTCTTCCAGCTTGCACACACAATGGGAAGACATACTCCCATGGGGAGGTGTGGCACCCTACTGTGCTCTCCTTTGGCCCCATGCCTTGCATCCTGTGCACATGTATGGATGGTTACCAGGACTGCCACCGTGTGACCTGCCCCACCCAATATCCCTGCAGTCAACCCAAGAAAGTGGCTGGGAAGTGCTGCAAGATCTGCCCAGGTAGGAGGGATCCCGAGGGCAGGGAAGAAACTGTCCACAGGCACTGGGGGGTTCTGCAACCTGCAGCGCTTGCACTTAGCCATAGGACGTGGGGTTTACAGGTGCCCAGACGGCTAGAAGCTCATGCATAGAAAATGCCAGACTGCATGGAACCACCTAGCGTGACAGTGTTTGCCTCAGAGGCTCTTATAGACACAAAATCAAATGATGTTTTGCCTTCTATGCAGCCATAAAACATTAGAACCCTGGACCTTTTGAGACTAGCCAATGCTGACTGAACACATCATAAACATTTTTTTTTCTCTCTTTTAGAGGATGAGGCGGATGAAGACCACAGTGAGGTCATTGCCACCCGCTGTCCCAAGGTACCAGGCCAGTTCCATGTGTACACGTTGGTATCTCCAAGCCCAGACAGCCTACACCGCTTTGTCCTGGAGCATGAAGCCTCTGACCAGGTAGAGATGTACATCTGGAAGCTGGTGAAAGGTGAGTGGCCAGCTTCCAGACTCAAATGCCTCTGGTGCCCTCCTGTTCTCAGCATCCATAGGGGCCTTAAGGAGGGTTTTCTGGGCAGGTGCCTCAGTCTCCTTCCAGAAGTAAGGAACCCCAAACCCAGTCCCATTCCTCTGACTTGTGATAGCTCTGATAAGCTCGCCAAGGCCCCTGAATGCTCCCTCTCCTGGTAATGGAGGGTTACTGCACCCTTTGAGGAGCCGACCTTAAAATCATAGACTGACTCTACTGTTGAGATTGAAGCATTGAGCCACGATCCAAAGTCTGGAGAAAAGATTCAGGCGTGGGGAATACTGGCTCCTGACTCCAGAGGGATGCCCTGTCGGAGGGAACAGTTTTGCTCTGAGTGACAGCAGAGGCCAGACCACAAGCAGAGGCTATGGAACCAGGCAGACCTGGGTTCAAACTCACCTCTGCTACTTCAAATCTTGGCGCTTTTCATCCTTAGCTGTGTGACCTTGGACAATCACTTAGACTCTCCGGACCTCAGTGTTCTCTTCTGTGGGTTGGGCAAAGGTACCCTGGGATAATCCCTGACCTATGGAATGTGGCAAAAAATATCTGTATCCTCTTACCACACTGGCTGGTTAGAATGGCGGAGGGGTGGGCTTCTATTTAGTAAGAGGGGGGACTTGCTTAACCTCAGAGGGAAGTGCAGAGCCGCAGAGCAGGAGAGGCAGAAGCAGGAACTCTTGTCATCGCTCTGAACCTTTAGATCAGACTGTTTCCCAGGGCTGGTGCTGACGACAACTCTCAGACCACCCACATACTCTACACCCCAACAGGTGCTGGGACAGCAGTAAGCCCCTGTCTTTGGGAACACATGGCTTGCTGACTCTACGCAGCAGGTCCTTTGGGGAGTTGATCTGGTCAGAGAAGGCTTCCTAGAGGGTGGACCTCTGCTAGTGAGGGAAGCCGGAGGGCCTTTAGAAGCCACAGGGGCTTTGCAGGCAGAACAGCAGCAGCCCTGTGTTCTATCTATGATCTGCACACAGAAGGCACCATGTGCAAAGTCCCCCCATTTAATCCTCACAAGAAACTTTGTGGTATGTACTTGGGTCCTGTTTTTGAGAGGCTTAGTAGCTAGAGTGCTTGCCTTGCACACAGAGGGCCCTGAGTTCAACCCCCAGCACAGGATAAACCATGCAGTGGCACACATCTGTAATCTCAGAAGTGAAACCAGACTTTCAAGGTCATTTTCAGATACAGGGAAAATTTGAGACCAGCTTGGGCTATGTAGACCTTGTCGTGTGAAGGAAGTGCAGGCTCCATTTAGGAGATAACATCACTTGCCTGAAGGTTTATGGAGGTGTCTGGGAAAGACCAAGAAGGGCCAGGATGACATATGCAGAATGAAGATACTTATTGTCCATCTCATCACCACTGGACCCAGCATAAAAGAAATGAGAGGACCTTCACCTCCACCATGCCAGTTCCTACTGTCCTGTCCCTGACAGTGTTCCCCAGCTGCTGCCCCCCTGAGTCACCTAAATGTTCAGTGACTCCTTCCCTGCCCCAGACTAACACTCCCTGGGCCCATCATCAGGGCTACCACACGCAGTTTCCTCCCTCAGAAGGGTGACCACTGAAGCCGCACTAGCAACGCTTCTCCATCTGGGACCAGCCCGGAGCACAGCAGCATCTGAGCAGAATGGGCTCAGGGTTAAGAGCCTGTGAGATTCTGGGGTTTCTCTCTATCTCCTGATGGTCCCTGGCCCCTGCCCTAGTCCCGTGCAGGTGCCTCCCTCTCAGCCCAGAACAGCTTTGTCCAGAGAAGTTTGGCTTCACTATGAGCTGGACTGGCCTATTGCCTGGAACTCATTCACCAGCACCAGCTCTGCTAGGGGCTCACAGGGCCCAGCTGTGCTCAGACTTGATGCAGCCTTTCAAAAGGGCAAGGGGCACATTCAAGAACCCCAGGCCATAAAGCATCCTCCTTCATTCTGCATTACAAACCCATGAGGCGTATGTGTGACTTTCCTCCCGTCTGCCACCTCTTCTCCCATGTACCGGGGAGCATGCATGGGCAGACCTGTGCAGGAGGGCCTGTCTCTATCTCATAGAAGTTATTTCTTGCCACTCTGACATGGCTCCCTGGGCCTTTGGAGCTATATGCTGGTTCTTGGCATCTAACCTGGGGCTCCAAGGACAGTACTGGCTATTTCCTGATTCCTGAAACTCAGTCCCAGCATCCATGTTTTCTGTTCCCCTTCATGGGGCCTCACCCTGATCCCAGGTTACAGGTCAGGTTGTTAGTCTTCCCCCAAGGCGGTGCTGGCCTAGCTGATGCCCTGCTGGCTGCATCTGTTCTCTCTGGCCAGAGGCTGAAGTGGGTAACAGCTAGTGCCACCTCACAGAGCAAGTGCTTAGGGCCTCAGTGCCATGTATGGTGCCAAGGGTAGCGTCCCACAAAGTGAAAATACCAGAGGAGTCAACTAATACCTCATTCCTCCTGGGGCCTCACTAGACGAGGTACATATATATTTATCTATTCATCTACTCAACCAGCCAGCCAGCCAGTCCTAAACTTATCTTTCCACTCACCTTTACACCCATCTTTCCAGCCATCCATCTACCTATCAATTTACCTACCTATCCATCTACCCCACACCTATTTATCCATCCATTCACTCATCCATCCACTTACTCCTACACCCATCTATCATCCATCCACCCACACACCCACTTGTCCATCTAACCACATCCATCCACCCATTAATACACACACATATACACACATATGTTCATAAATACATACATACATACATACATACATACATACATACATATGTACATGCATTCATGCAAGCATATATCCACCCACCCATCCTTCTACCCAGGGAATCATTTATCATAAATGTTTCATGCTTAGAACTCAAGGAGTTAAGATCTCCAGAGTTCCATGTCTGGGAGAGAATTAGGCAAGGTCATGATGACAGCGCCGTAGGGTGGGAGTGACTGGTCTAGGAAGACAGCTCGGTTGGTAAAGCGCTTGTCTCAAAGACTGAGAACCTGAGTTCAGCCCCCAGAAGGCATGTGAAAAACCTAGGTGCCTTGGCACACGCTGGCAACCACAGCACTAGGGAAGAGGAGACAGGAGCATCCCAGCAAGACTAGCCTGCCTCGTGAGCTCCAGGCCAGAGAAAGACCCTGTCCCAAAGGAAAAGGGCAACCTTAGTGAGGATGGTACCCAAGGTTGTCTGTCCTCTGTCTTCCATATTCACACACACATATGTGAACACACACATTTAAAACGAAGAAGGGTAAAATGATAAACAGAACCTAGTGTGATTCTCCTGTAGAGAAGAGGCTGTGGTCGCCTTCAGGATGGGTCAGGAAGCCTTCCCACGAATGCTGAGTGAGTGGGTCCCTCTTGCTGTCCACAGAAAGCAAGAGAAGAAGGTGGGAACTTGGGCTAGGTTCCTAATAGGAGCAGGCCAGGGAGGGGAGCAGAGAGAAAGCAGGAACTCTTGGGGAGTTCCCAGGCTGCTGGTGTCAAGGAGAGAGGAGGGGGGCTGCCAGCTGCAGTAGTACTATTTGCAAAGGCTTGGTTTCCTCCTGGGACCACAAACATTAGCTAGGGATGGACCATACTCAAGACACCATAGCTCCCTTAGCTCCCTGTTCTACGATGTCTGAATAAACACGGCTCTGGGTTTTCATCTCATGCTGTATGCTAGAGAAAAGCTTAAATGTTCTTTATGGGTCAGCCTTTTCTTCTTTATTTTACCTTTCATCTCTCCCTCCTTCTCTCCCTCCATTTTCCCTTCCCTCCTTCCCTTTCCTTCCTTCTCTCCTTCCCTTCCTTTCTTCCTTTCCTTTTTTCCCTCCCTCCCTCCTCACCTCCTCCCTTCCCTCCCTTCTCCCCTACACTTGGGCAGATATGAGGATGTCCCTGGTGACAGGAGCAGAGGAAGGCAGTTAAAGGAACAGGTTTTCCTTACTGTAGAGGTGACAGGTGGTCAGAGAAGCCAGAGCATTTCAAATGGTCACCATTAGGATTATGGTTTAAGAGGGGTCAGGGCTCTGGTGAGGAGGGGCGATGGGGTTGGAGAACTGACTGGAACCCTGCAGATTTATTCCACATTAACTTCCTGTGTCCTCAGATTGGGGGCAGGAAGGGGTGAGTTGTGAGTGGCACTCCATCCTACCTCCATAGCTCATGTTGTGTCTTCCTGCAGGAATCTACCACTTGGTTCAGATCAAGAGAGTCAGGAAGCAAGATTTCCAGAAAGAGGCTCAGAACTTCCGGCTGCTCACCGGCACCCATGAAGGTGGGACCTTGGGCTACATTCCTAATAGGGACAGGCCAGGGAGGGGAGCAGAGAGAAAGCAGGACCTCTTGGGGAGTTCCCAGGCTGCTGGTGTCAGGGGGAACAGAGGGGGGCTGCCAGCTGCAGACGTCAGTTCCCAGCACAGGAATCCAGTGGGTGTCGAGGCCAGAGATTTCTCAATCCCTAAGTGAGAGAGAGAGAAGGTGAGACTGAGCAGATGGCTTTGTCTTGGCCCAGAAGGGTCAGGTCTGAGCTCTCAAGACCTGGTGCTTGCCATGCCTCTAGACCAGCAGTTCTCAACCTGTGGGTCATGACTCCAAAGGGGTCATGGATTAGATATTTGTATTAAAATTTATAACAGTAACAAAATGACAGTTATGAAGTAGTGATGAAATAAGTTTATAGTTGGAGGTTACCAGAGCATGAGGAACTGTATTAAAGGGTCACAGCATTAGGAAGGTTGAAACCCACTGTTCTAGACTTTTCATTCTCAATGAGACCCTTCTAACCACTTTCCTAGACAGTCTAATTTGTTCTGCATTACTCCATGAAGATGGACCTGGATGTTTTTGTGGGGATGTCAAGTCAGGTGACAGATGAAACATTACCTATAGAAGTCAGAAAACCCAACCTCTAAATACAGGGAGGGTGTCTGAAGGCTAAGTCTCATACAACTTACAAGATAGGGACCTCAGCTCTCCACCAGTGGGTCCCAAACCCTGGCACATAAAGTTTCTCCTGACTCAAGCATTAAAAGGCCCAGTCACCACCACTGTGGCACACATCCCTTGTCTCTTCTGCCTCCCTCCATGCAGGTTACTGGACCGTCTTCCTAGCCCAGACTCCAGAGCTGAAAGTTACAGCCAGCCCAGACAAAGTGACCAAGACATTATAGCAAGGACCTAAACAGTTGCAGATATGAGTTTTATTGGTTTTGTTATTATATATTAATAAAGAAGTCGCATTACCCTCCCCCCAGACCTGCCTGTTGACTTCACATCCCGTTTCCAGAGACTTTCTGGGCAGATGCCTTTGTCCTGAATTTACATGGGTGGAAGTAGATTCAGAAGGGGTACAGAGGGGCCCGAGTCCTCACAGCTGCTTTTCATTAGAGCCAGGGATAGCTCTTGCAGCCTCCTCCCAGGCTCTTGTCTCCCAGCACCCTTATCCCCTAAGCCCCTAAATAGAATGCTTTTATGGGGAGCACCCCCACCCTTCCAGTGGCTTCCTTGCACTAAGCCTAAAAAGAGGAACTAACTTAGTTTGCCAAGTAGTAGTGAACACGACCTCAGTGCACTTTCCCTGGGGCCTGGGGCCCTCCTAGGCCAGCCATGCCTACTTCAGGGAATCTGAGTTTAGAGAAGAGCTGAAGCAATACTGTGCCTGAAGGCACAGAGCGGGTAGTGGCTGGCTAGGACTGGAAGCCAGGGCTCTGGCTCCGGGCTAGCACTCCTTCCCCCATTCTTGCTGCCACACGAGCAGCCTCACCTCTAAGGGATCCAAGACTGCAGTCAGATTGCCAAGTTGGCCTGTTGTCCAAGAAGGCCCAACCATTACAGTGAAAGACAAATCCACCATTTATCCTGCCCACGTGTGTAAGCGTTTGCAATGTCCAATATGGTTTATGGCCCGTGACTTCACTTACGTCAAACAATGTAGGATTTACCCCCACTCTGGAGAGGCCTCCGAGGCTCCAGTAAGACAATCTTTCTCAGAGCCTCACAGTGATGAATAGCCAGGCGGGACCTGAATTTGAGTACTCTGTCACTCCGGTGAAGTTCTCAGGACAGCCAGGCTCAGCCATCCGCAGCCCCGGCTCTCCACTCTTCCAATGCAGAGCAGATAAGACGCAGTGAAGAAGTCATGGACAAAGGCCTGCTGGCCAGGGCTGTGCGGCCGCTTAGAGAGCCCACTGTGTTGTCTTCACAGCCTTGGCTTCCACTCTACTGTCCCTGAAGTCTGGGGATCTAAGCAGCCACCATTGCTACCTTTACTGGGAATCACTCTCCTGAAGCCCCCTTTGCCAGCCGTAACACATAATATACCCAGAGTACACCCAGAGGGGGGTTGGGGACAGGCTCAGTTAGAAAAACACGTCTGTGGCCTCCCTGTCATCTCATAGCTCCTACCTGCCCCTTCTCATGGAGAGTCATCATTTGACCAGCTTCCCCACCAGAGAGACTTAACCTGGTAATTCTAGAGGTGCGTTCTGAGAAATTCAGGGACCTAGAAGCCCAGCCATTCATAGGGTGCGCTTTGACCATCTTCCCAGCTCTGTGGACTGTCTCTCCAGCAAAGCATTCCCAATGCTCCCCTTGTCCCTTGACCCCACCCCAGCCCCATCCATCTTCCCATCTCGAATACAGCAGTCCTAGGTTTCAGGACAGGAATGGGTCCTTGGGGTACTTTCCTTGATCTGGAAGGACAAGCCGCCTCCTGGCTTATTTAATAGGCACATCTGAAGCCTATGATGTGTGCCTGAAGCCTGCTTCCCCAGGCGGGTGTGGGGCACATTTTGTACATCAAGCCCCCCTGGCTTTAGTCCAGCCCTTTCTGTTTGAGCAAACACTCATGTTGTACAACGCCAAGCTGCTCCATGATTTCACACTCTTTCTCAGCCACTCTGGGGTAAGTTTTACGCTAGACCAATAACACAGAATAAGGAGCTGACATCGCCCTTCCCAAGTCAGGGGGAGGAGGACATCAGTAAGGATAAAGCAGTGGCATCGTGACATCTGAATGATAAAGGAGGTGAAAACAGGACTTTATGGGGCACAGCCCCTGATCCCAACCGAAGACACTTACACAGGCTCAGAGGACAGGGAAAAGACAGAGAAACAGTAAATGGAGCAAGAGAGGGGGTGGGTAATGATGGAGAAGCAGAAAACCTGGTAGCTGAGAGAAGCAAATGATGAGAAGGCGTCCTTCACCAGTGTCGGATGGTGCTGGGCAGTGAGCAGTTGGAGGTGAAGTTGCCCCTCAACTGAGAAACTCTGGCTTTACCCCAAGAGACAATCTGTGACCTAGAGAGCTGTTCCTACCTGCTAGAGAAGAATGGCCTGGCAGAGCGAGGTAGAACAGAGGAAGAACTGTTTATGGAGGCCATGGGGAAGGCAGGATGGACTGACTGGGTATAAAGTTGAAGGAGAAAGAGTAATGTCACAAGATGGCATCTAGAAGACACCCACACCCCCACACCCCCACATCTTGCACCTGAGGAGATGGCCATAGTACTCTGGGTATATTATAGGTTACCAGAAGGTTGGGCTTAAAACAGAAGGTGGGAGCTGTTGGCTTCTAGATGGTGACCAAAGCCAGAAGGGAAGGGACCAAGCCCTGGGAAAGATTGTAGAATGAAAAGAGAAGAGAGACCCAGACAAAGGCTGGAGCATCTTGCTGAGGTGAGCAGAGGGAAGGCCAGACACTCACCATCATGGAGTTGAGTAAGTAAGGCCAGAAAGAGCCCTTTGTGGGGACAAGAACAATCTTGTGGCCATGGCAACCATTAGTGTTAGTTGAAAGGCAGAAGCTGGGTTGGGCGGACCTGAAGTAGTATCTGGGAAGTGAGGAAACAGACTTTTAATAAATTTGGCAATAAAGAAGAGATGCAGGAGAGTGGTGGGTGATGCTGCCTGGAGGCCAGTGATACCCACTCCACCATTCTACTATGTTCAAATTTGTCTCTGATCTGCTTCCTGGAAGACCCCAGTGAGGTGGAGATTTCTATCTATGCTACGTGGATGAGGAAGTGAGAATCGAGGGAATGAGAAGATGAGCTGAGAGTAAACAGGAGAATGTGGATTCCAGCCCAGGGTACTGCCTCCCACCATCCCTACAGCACTGCGCTTACAGCCCTATTCCACTGACCCACCTGGGCAGCCTTCTAGCCCAGAGCTGGCTCATTTACTGTGATGCCTCCAGGTTTTTTGAGGCCACTTCCTCTTCTCTTCCTCCTGCAGCTGTGACACTACCTCATCCCATCCCTTCAGGGATGCTAGGCTCTAGGAAATGGCAGTATTTCTGAGAATCAAAAGGTGGTCTGCGGTTTGGAGCTGCCTCAGGCGTAAGGGAAAGCCTGGGCCACACTAGACACAAAGGCATCTCTCTCCAGGACTGGCTTAGAAACCCACTTTTCCTCATCCTAGTACCTGGAAGGCACCCGTGCTTGATTTCTTCCTCCTCAGAACCATGTATGGGAGAAGAGTGGGAACGGCTATTCTGTGTGGCTAAGGCAGGCAGGGTCTCGGCCAGTGTGGGTCTCTCTGTAAATGGGCTGGTGTGGGTCTCTGTACATATGTCCTTCTCTGCACAGAGAAGCTTTCTAGAATTAACCTGGGATCTGGACCTCTGCTCTGTTCTGACGTAACGACCACATAATATCTGCTTTTGCTATCATTCTCCCTTTACCTCAGTCTGGTGCAAATCACACAACATGCCAAGGTCAAAGGACAACTAACCCACTCAGAGGCTGTGACTAGAAGGTCCAGGTTGTTACAACCAGCTCACAGCTCCGTGCCACCAGCCTTCCCACTTCACCCTGCTAGAAAGTTCTACCTATCAGCCCAGGCGGCCTTTCGAAACCATCATTCCACCAGGCTCCCCCGCATTAAAGCTGTCTTTCCAGGACTTCTCCCTGCCCTTGGGTAGCATTAAAGCCCTCTGCGTTCTGATCCTTCTTGATGCCTCCTGCTGTGTCTTCAACACAGCCCCCTTGCTTGTTCTCCCAGCAGCTGCCCAGGTTATGAGTCTGCGGGGACAGGGTGTGGAATGTGATGGTTTGAATGAGAATGACCTCATAGGCTCATACACTTGAGTGCTTGGTTCCTAGTCAGCAGACCTCCTCGGGAAGGATTGGGAGGTGTGGCCTTATTTGAAGACATATGTCACTCTGGAAGTGGGCTTTGAAGCCCAATTGTTTCTCTCTCTCTCTCTCTCTCTCTCTCTCTCTCTCTCTCTCTCTCTCTC